TCAGTCCAGCTAAGAATGATCTCGTACATGACAGCTTTCTAGAGCATTTTCTGACAAAGTGGATCCTAGTTCAGTGGACCAAACAATAGAATTGATTGTCTTAGAAGCAAGCCTGAAGGGACTGATTAAAATAGTATTGGGGATTTTGGCCTCCTTATAAAACAGTTTCCAAATCAAATGCTTGCTTTTTTCTTTCTTTTTTTTTTTATTTTTTTATTATTATTATTACTTTGTTGGTTCTATGAAAGTATTCTCCATCATCGCAAGTGTTGTAATCAAGTGCAAGACATACTGTGCCTGGACAAATCATGGCTTCTTTAATTTACAGAATAGATTTGAACTCTGAGGTGTCTTCTGCCAAAGGTGAATCACACAGGTGATTCTGCCAGGTGCAAAATGTATAAAAAAGATACTTTGCTTTGTGCTGTGTCAGGTACTGCATATTTTGACAAGCAGCAAAGGATGAAAAAATGACTTTGTGGCTTATAGCCTCACATTTGTGGAGCCATAGTCTTCCCTGAATAGAATGGATTTAGGCTTCTACTTCGGCTGACGTGCCTCTGGTTTGAAATAGGTTCTATTACTATTTATTACTTTGCAAGGGAGTGCTTATTTGCAAAATTAATGCACAATTATCAACAATAGGCAGATACAAGTTGATATATTCCAGTACATCTGGAATATTTCCAGTCTTCTGGCTGCCTGTGTTCATCATGTTAGCTTGCGTCAGCTTCCTTGTGTCAGCAGCACTAAAAGGAGAATCAGATTTAATCTTCTGTGATAGAGAATAACCTTAGCCTAATGCTACCAGATAGGACAGAAAAATTTGAGGCTTTTTTGGAAAAAATGATGAGATTATCCAAGCTGTAAAGGATTCATTACTTTTTCGTGGAACTAGACTGAAACAGTGTATCTCAAATAATCATGCTTCTTCCTGTGGGAAGGGACGGGACTTAGATGTAGACTGTACTAGGTGCATTGCAGATTTAATTCGTATTGAGATTTCTAGCAGCTGTCTCTTAGGCTGGCATCGATTTTTGTATTTCTGCAAGCTACTTGGCAGTTGTGGTTTTATGGGTTCCTACAGGTGCAGAGTGTAAGTCTAGCGTAGTGCTCATAAGAGTAACAAAAAATAGGTCTGTTCTTTCTTGATGACCAGTAGGCTTCTTCAGTTTTCTTTTATATCTAGAGAAACTGTGAATCCAGTGTGGATAAAGAGATTACAGTGAGATCTGAAGGGCAGAATGGTGTTGGTGTGTACACTTCTAACTCGGAAAAACTTGGGTTTATTCTGTTGTCTAGGAACAAGCGCTTTGATGTACAATGGATTGCTGAAAGGATTCTATATTTCATGGTTTTGCTGTCTCTGTTGTTGGGTGGTTCTTTGCTGCTGCCCAGGAATGTGCGTGCTTATGGGGAGTGAGACACGAAAATTCAAAGCAATTTTTGTACATTTAGGATTTATTCAGACAGTTCAAAGAAACCCCTGTACGTTGTTCAGTGCTGCTGAACTGAAGAGATTTAATTCTTAATAACCTAGTGCTTCAGGTTTTTTCCACAGAAATGATGGGGATATAGTTTGGCTGAAAGTCTGTAGGGCTGGGGTGTTGCACATGGTGCAAACTTAGCCAAGTTACCTGAACAAGTAGGTCTGCAAGGGGAAAAGATGGGTAGAAGGTGCTGGCTCTGCTGGCTGTGTAAGTGTAACAGGCATGGTGTATGTTTTGTGTGTTGTAAGCTGTGGGTACTGTGATGTGCAGAAGCGAGCATTTTCGAGTCTGTCGTGGTTTAAACCCAGTCAGGTAATTCGTTCACTCACTTCCCCCCCTTTCTTGCTCTCCCCCTGCTCCCGGAGGGACGGAGAGGAGAATCGAAAAGAAGAATGCAACTCCCACGGGTTGAGATAAGAACAGTTTAGTAACTAAGGTATAACACAAATCACTACTGCTACCACCAATTATAATAATGATAAAGGAAATAACAAGGGAAGAGGATACAACACCTCAGCACCAGCCGACCGATAACTTGCCCCCCAGCCCGACCAAGCTCTGACCAATACCTCCTCCAACCCTGCCGTCTCCCAGCCCTTCCGGCTAACTCCCAGTTACATCCTGGGCATGACGTGCTGTGGTATGGAATACTTCTTTGGTCAGTTTGGGTCAGGTGTCCTGTCTCTGCTTCCTCCCGGCTTCCCCTCCTCCCTGGCAGAGCATGAGGCTCACAAAGTCCTTGGCCAAACCAAAACATCGCTTGTTATCAGCTCTGTTCCCGAGCTGAAAGTCAAAACATTGCACTGCACCAGCTACCAAGAAGGGGAAAAATGACTGCTACTGCTGAACCCAGGACAGAGTCACATGAGGTTGCTTGCATAGAGTACCAGTTCCAAATGCTAGTTAGAAAAAGGCTTGAGTTCCTTCAGTTGAACTCAAGTAGTCAGAAACTGTGCATAGTAGAATGCAGTGTATTTGCAAGGGGGTTAATTCTCAAGGAGCTGGCTAGTTAAGGGCTGCTCTGGACCACAAAAACCCCTGTGTATAAACATATTCTCTGATATGCCAAGACAGAAGGTAATTTTTCTATAAGAAAAAAATAAGTAGAAGTTGCTACTTAAGGGGAAATTGTGAAGTTTGGAAATTTGCCATGGCATATGTGTTCTTGTGCATACTTGATTACCAATAGAATATGCTAGTCAATACTGGATTTGTGAAACTTTTTTCATCTTGTCCGAAGACTTGATGAACATGGGACACAAAATAGGTTTTACATTTCTGTGAGCAGCAAGTAATGATTTGTTGCTGTGGTTGACTTTGATAAATTTCCCTCTGCCTTCAGCATACTTTTAATTGTGTGAATAGCCTTTCGAAGATGGTAGAAATCCATATTAAGTTTGCTTGTGAGATTCACTTGCTGGAAGGCTCTTGGCTTAGTGCACAAATGTACAGTAGGTAATTCAGGGCACCATTTTCAGCTCCTCTGAGCAATGTTGTCTTCCATTCAACTTCAGTTTCAGCTTCTTCAGGTGAAGGCATTTTTACCATAGCCTGGCAGCAAGTTTTTTTTTTTTCCTAAGTTTATTTTCTTCATTAGTCACTCAGGTTTTGCTCTTGTACAATAATAACTTAACAGGAAGATTTCTGCCCTTGTTAGAGGCTGTTTGATTCTCTTGCCAACACCTCCTAAATAATATGCTTCTGTTGTGCATATTGCTGTTGCTCAGTTATATTTGTTATCCTGTATCTTTACTGTAAGAGGAGCAGCAAAGTTGTGGTTTTAGATACAGGAAAGAAAATAACATATAAGCAAGGAAATTATTTGTTACCAATATTCAGGAAAAATATTTGGAAACTCATCTGACAGGTATTCATTCTACTCAGTCCTTATGAGGTGTCACCTGGAGTGCTATGTCCAGTTCTGGGCTCCCCCGTACAAGAGAGATACAGAGCTACTGGAGGCAGTCCAGTGAAGGGCCACACAGATGGTAAGGGTTGGTGAAAGGAAGGGTGGAGCCAGGCTTTTTTTCAGCGGTGCCCAGTGACAGCCCCAGAGGCAATGAGCACAGGATGAAGCGCAGTTGTGTTCCTTCCCTCTGTACATCAGGAAACACTTTTACTTGAGGGTGACTGAGTGCTGGCACGGGTTGCCCAGAAAAGCTGTGGAGGATCCATCCTTGGAGATAGTCAGAAGACTTCTGGACATGGTCCTGGGCAACCTGCTTGTGGATGGGGTTGAACCAGATGACCTCCAGAGGTCCCTTCTAGCCTCAACCTTTCTCTGATTATGGGTTACTTTGTCAGTGTAGCGTCTTCCCTCCCCACCTTACCTATTGCCAGGCATTTATGTAAATTGCTGATACTGGTTGTGGTCCAGTATATGTTCAGGAAGACTTCTGGTGGGTAAAATTGCCAGAATGACCAATTAATAAAGTTGCATTGAGCATCAATGAAACCTCTTTCTGAAGGTAATCCTGAGATGATTTCTTATTTTGCTGGGAATTTTCTGTATATACACCCACATTAATAGCATGTTACCAGTTACACAGTAACTAAACATCCTAAACTTTTACATTGAACAGGTTAATGGAAATAGTGTTGATTCAAGCTTGTTCTTTTCACCAAGCATACAACTAGCCCTTGCCATCTTGAGAAGAACTAGCAAAATACAGGAGTCCTTTTCTTTGCTCCTGGTTGGCAGTCCAGACTTCAATGACATAAATTGATTGCCAGTTGAGAAGCAGGCTGACCTCTGTAGTTGCCTCAAGGGAATTTACGTACAGAGTACTGAAGAGCACACTCCTTATTTGATGTCCCTCCACTCTCCTGACTCTTTGTAGTTTGGGTTGCTTGTTCCTGAGCAAACTATTTATGCTTGACTATAGCTTCTTGATGAAATCTTAGTTCTGATATCTGTTCTAAAACTTGGGCTAGAAGTAAATCAGTTATTCATAGAATCATAGAATGGTTTTTTGTATGCACTAGAGGTAAATGTATTTTTCATACTGTGTCCAAGGTCTGTAAGGAAACCTGAAGTTTACACAGAGTATAAAAGTCAGGGTATAGAAGGTGCTGTTTAAGATCAAGACATTGTATTCTCATGCAAATAGAACACTAGGTCTAGGTTTTGTGAATGTTGTTTACACAAATTACTTAAGGTTTGATAGAATAACTCCTTCACCAAGCTTTGTAGTACTGTAGAAATTGGGTTGCAAAGTCTTGCAAAGAAAATACATAATATGATTTAGATAAACATGAAAATAAACCGTTCTTAAGTTGTTTATTCGATGGTTCCTGAATTTTAAAACCAAATGTTATTTTCGTCTGTTTATCTCATATCACTGACAGTGGGTGAATAGGGTAGCTTTGTGCACTCTTTTAGTGATAATTAAAATACTTTTGTTACGGACTTCTGCTATTAATTGTCAAGAAAATGGGATTTTGTTTTTTTTTGTTTAAGGGTAAATTCTGTAGGCTCTTTTGATTTTAAAAATACTTCTTTTCTCTTAGGTGTGGAATATCAAACAGATGATTAAATTAACACAAGAACATATAGAGGCACTGCTAGACAAATTTGGAGGAGAGCATAACCCACCATCGATATATTTAGAGGTAAGTTTACACTGGAATGAATGCGGTTAGATTAATGGTGTGTTATCTTAATGTTATATGAAGCATCTTATGTTAAAATGGAGACTACCTGTAGTTAAAGAGAATATTCTCTTTGTGTGTTAGAAATTTAACTCTTTCCCTGGAGATAAGGAGGAACTGTATGGGATTCCTGATACACATCAGTAAGGGAAGATCAGTGGCATAATCTGATAGTTATGTTGGTGCAGTTGAAATGTCAAGTATCCTTTTTAGGTGCTGGAGGGAGAAAGATTATATATAATAGAAATTGTCTCTTTGAAAAGTAATCATGTGAAATAAAAAAAAAATAAATAAATTAAGTTGTAGGGTGGAGTAATATCTTTGAGCTGAGTTTAATTTGTAAACTAACTACAAATTAAAACTGTATTTTCATCATTCCAGATTCATGAAGTTTCATTGACATAAGATCATTAAGTGCTTAAAAAAGGACTGCGTACATAAGTTTGATCTTTTGGGAACTGAATGGTATCACTTGCTCCAAACCCTGCCCTTTTCTTGGTTTTCTCAAGTACTGAAATAACTGGAGGTCAACCAGATTTCTTTTGTAGTCTTTTCAATTGTGATTGCTGCCTAAAGGCACTGGGTAATTAAAAATAAAGATCTCATTATTTGAGGTACTTCTGGCTTTTATCTTAATATGTCAGAGCAGGGCACTAGCTTGATTGTGCAAATGTTGACATAATGTCCTTAACAGTTAAGGTCAAATGAGGCCCACTAGTTGCTTTACTTATTGCTAATGTGAAACGGGAATACTGAATGAGTAATAATCACTATTTAAACCACTCAATGATATATTAACACACCTCTGTTTTTACATAAACCGGTTTGTTCCATAGGTGTTCCTAATATTGCCACATATATGTTGGTTTCATTAGATTGTGTGTCAAACTTCAATAATGACAAGTTTAATCTGTACTAAGTCTGGATTTTGGGTAGTGAAATCATTAGTTCATTACAGCCACTTGTCGCTTGTGTCTAAACTAAAACTGAGAGCCCCACACTGGAAGCTTTTTGGTTATTCTGTAGTTCATTGATAGGGAAGTGGGCATTTACAGTCATAAATGCATGCCAGAAAGTGATTACAATCATGTAAAGAGTGTATTAAGTCTGAAATAGTCAGTGACTACAAATTATAAAGCTTAAAGTAGATTTGCAATGATTCTTACGCTACTCAGATGAAACTGCCTCATCAGCATGGTAGGGAACCCCTGCAAGGTGGAGCAGGGTGTTCCTCTGCTGTATGAGTTCTGGTGGATCCTGCAGGTCTTGTGAGAAGTAGTGCTGGTGCTGACTAGGGAGCAGTAACTCATTGGGAAGAAGATGGAGGTGGCTTGGATTCTGCTTTTTCAGTTGAATTGTCCCTTGAGACAATGAAGTCCTGTGGAAAGAGCCCACCATCATTGAAATGAAAAGCCAATGAATTAGTTTGCTATCCTGTCTGTAGCTTGAACTTGGTCATGATGAAGTCTGGTGAGCCCCAAAGATGTGGTTAAGCATAGGGAAAGGGAGGAAGGAGCAAGAGCTTGCAGCTGTGTGCCAAGGACCTAGGAAAGGATGTGAGAGAAGAGAGGAAATTTCTATTTAGTCAGTAGCTTAGATTAGATTATTCTCAAATGGACTGACTGAAGAGAATAGGTACAAATGCTGCAAACCTGACATTGTTTAATGTGTAGATTTTGTGTGGTAGAACTCAGTTGTGAAGGAAAAAAAAGAACTATATTACAGAGTAAATGAGACAGTAAGAAGCAAGATTACTGTTTACGCATGACTTCATTTCAACCCAGTGAAGTTATCTAGTGTGTCTTGTGCCTTTTAACACTATTTTTTTTGCTGCATTTGGCTTGGTCGAGAAGAGGGGTTGCTCTCTATTGTCAGAATTTACTTTGCAGCAATTTACCTGAATCTCATCTGTCACTGATAGAGCTAGTGTTTTGATTTTCTGTATTCCTTCTACCTGTCAGTAAAAAGTCACAGAGCAACCCTGGTAGCTACATGGAAGGACAAAGCTATATCTAAAAAACTATGAAAATAGTGTGATATGAAGTGTGGAAGAACACATTTGCTTCTAGGAAATGCAGGACTAAGAAAACATAGGAGTTTTGATATGAATAGAAATAACAGGAGAGCATGTAGATTACATGTGAGTAGCTTAAGTGGTTCAATAGATGACTTGTCTGACATCTGTTAGAAATAGCTAACTCTGTATGTACAGAGCCACTGTGCAATGTTGGGCCTGTTGCTCAAGTTTCATGCCTAGGCATCATCAGTGATTTCTCTGCATGACCTCTTTTTCTCCCCAGGCTTTCACATCTAGGCTATGGTCTGTGTACTGTCTCCAAAGTGCTTGAACAGGAAAGTAATGTAACTGATGCTCTGTCCATTCTCTTCTGACTTTTCTGGTTTTACTGTTTTGCTGAAGTCTCGATTCTGGCTGTAAGTGTAATGTTGCTGTGCGTTTACCCAGAATCTGTATGAGTAACCTTGATAGTCTGCTGCTTGGAGTGCATCATATTTCCCTTTGTTTCCTTTGAATCATAGAATAGTTTGGGTTGTAAGGGGCTTTTTAAAGGTCCCTTCTGCAGTGAGCATCTTCAACTAGGATGAGTTGCTCAAAGCACTGTACAGCCTGGCCTTGAAAGTTTCCAGGGATGGGGCATCTGCCATCTCTCTGGGCAACCTGTTCTCATATTGCCACCACCCTTACAATAAAACATTTCTTCCTTATATCTAGTCTGAATCTACCCTCCTTCAGTTTAAAACCATTATCTCTTGTCCTGTTGCAACAGCCCTGCTAAAAAGTGTCCACCATATTTCTCAAATACCTCCTCTAGGGTACTGGAAGGCTGCTATAAGATCTTCCCAGAGCCCTCTTCTCCAGGCTGAACAAGCCCAGCTTTCTCAGCCCTTCCTTGTAGAAAAGGTGCTCCATCCCTCTGATCATTTTTGTGACCTTCCTCTGAATCCACTCAAAGAGTCCGTATCTTTCTTGTGCTGAGAACTCTATAGAGCTGGATGCAGTACTCCAGGTGGGGTTTTCGGAGAGCAGAAGAGAGGGGGGAAATCGCCTCCTTTGACCTGCTGGTCGTTTCTTTTGATCCAGCCAAGGATACGGTTGGCCTCCTGGGCTGCACCTTGCTGGCTCAAGTCTAGCTTTTCATCTACCAGTACCCCAAGTGCTTTTCCCCAAGGCTGCTCTCAATCCCTGCATCCCCCAGGCTTGTTTTGATGCCGGTTTTAAAGTCATTCCACTGCACTGATCTCTTTGTATCTTCCTTAAAATGTGAGGGACACGTAAGGACTTCTGTAGATTGTGCCTGTTGATCACCTCTTGGGTGCTGTCAGCAAGCATGTTGGCTGCTTGTCTTAGCAAAAGTAAAAATTAGCCAAAACTAATTCCTAAGTTAAGTACTTGAATATGAACACTTCTGCTTTCACCCACATTGCCTTACACTGTTGTAAACATCTAGTTTTATTGTAATGCTTTCTGGCTTTTTGTTACACTCTGAAAATCTTGACAGCTATCCATCTATCTTTCAGTACAATAGAATTTGTTCTGTTCTTTTGTACTCTGCATAGCTTTTATAGCTTTCATTTCTTATGCATCTTTTCTGCCGCTTATGTTCACAGCACTTGGAGTGTCCAGTATGCTGTCTCCTGGTCTGTGTTGGGGCTGCCTGTGTCGACCATCCAGTACAGATGTAATTGAATCTGGCAGCAAAATTGACTTTCACTTAAAAGTGGAAAGGAAGGGGTGGGGGAGCAGAAGCAGGCATGGGAAAGCTGAATAATTGAACAGGAAAATTAATTGTGAAAATTGAATATTAGAAGGATATAGTAAAATTATTTGTGCATTGAATATAAAACATACAACTCATTTAAAAATAAAAAGGAACTTATACCTTAGTTACCATTGCTTAAGAAAATAGAAGCTTTTGTTTCTGTGCTCATATGAGAGTGCAAAGACAAAAATTGGGGTATTTTGCAGATTTTTTTTTTTTCTTTTAGTTCTGGTGAGAGTGTCAATGTGTTTTACATCAAAAGAGCTTTAAAACTAACAGCTGTTGCTGCATCCATCATTTCAGGTTTCATCAGTTGACTGTGAAAGAGGAATGTATCTCTTGATTGATGTGTGCTATGTTGAGTTAAGCATATATTTAGTTATTCCTGCAAGAGGGGGTACTGGGATTCAGGGGTATATCCATCTTCATCCATCGGTCCTCAGCGATGGCCTTATAAAGGTGACTATAGAGCATGGGGAGCAGGGCCTGAAAGCCTGAGTGTGTTAGGAGTGGAAACCAAAGCTGCAGAGAGATTTCTGAGTGTTCTGTATATAAGGTATAGGGGTAGGAAACAGAATGAGCAGAAGAAAGAAAAGAACATTTGTCATTAATGACACAGTTTTCTTCTAACTGTTATAATTAGTAATAGCTATGGGAATCTTATCAATGTTCTCTAATTTGATTACAAGAAAAAGTTTTCTGTTTGTTCCAGATGGAAGAAATAATGAATGTAGTAAGCAATGGCTGTATTAAAATCTAAAAATGGCTTGTAGCAAAAATTCTTTGGGCAATCCTAGTTCTTAACTTCTTCCATCCCCCGCATGCAAGCATGTATCTTGGATCTAACAGACCCCTGGAAATCACTGTCAAATGTTTGAAGTAACTGCTTGACTCAGTAGATGTAGAAATATCATTAATAGCATTTTTCTTTTCTTCTGGAAAAGAGGCTGCAGGAGCTCCTAAATATGTTTTACCACTCTTTTTGGAAGCACTCTGTATCACAGCAGCTGAAAACATCAATGGTTTTTGTCTTCCCACATAATTTCTTAGTGCGTTATATCTGTCCTTGAAGTGTTGTTTCCCAAAATACGCAGTTTATGATTCACTGTGGAAAAACCCTTTTTTTAAGGGTTTGTCTAAGCATTGTAAATATTGGAAATCATTACTGCAGAGAAGCCTAAT